AGGGCAAGAGGACCCCTTTTCTGTGATAAGGAGTTGTGACAAACTGTAGTTTAAGGAAACAATACAGTGCTGAGGGGAAGGTAGCAGCCTGTGGGGAGGTGCTCAGTCCATCATGTTTCAGAATGAGGTGGGAATGGTAATATTTTTGTCTCCTGTAGTTATTTTTTTTAATAAGCAGATTGTGACAGAAATGATTAAAAAAAAGAAAGACGATAAATGGAGAGAGTTTGGAACAAATGGAAAGAATAGCTTAGATGTTATGGATCCATAGAAACCTCCTCAAGGCACCATCTTTGATATCCCACAGTACAGTTGAACTTGCTTAATAAGGTGGAGAGAAAGATTATGATCTGCAGTGTCATCTTTTAAAGCAGTCATACATGATAAAATTAGAATAAGTAGACAAACATGTATAGTCTGTCTTTTCCTAAATCATTAATCAAAAATAATACAGTTCTATGATTCATTGATCCTTTCAAATAATGAAGTGTAACAGGCAGATAATCGGCTCTGTGAGGGTCAGCAGCACTTTGCTATTCCTTGTTGGATCCTTGACAAGCAGTGTCCACTCAAACTGTCATATAACGAGAACCTCAAATAGTTAAATTCTTTTACATGTTTTTAATACTTTAACCGTTGAGCTAAGATTATCATAGTAAAAGTCTGTTAGTCTGTCCACTTCTCTGACTTTAGACTCAACAGTGGCTTGTAACATGAGGGAGAATAGAGGGGAAAATGAATCTTTTTCCTGTTGTTCGTGGTCCCAGGTTAAATGTACCTTTATCTCCAGAACTTTATGAATTTTTAAACCCTGAAGGTGCGCATTCTGAAGAACTTCTGTAGCCCACTTTAGTAAGAATAGATAACTCTGTTTTCTTTTCACCTAGGTTGGATCAGATGTTTTCAGCTGCTTTTAGTAGAGATCATCAACTAATTCAAGCAGATCCAAAGCATAACCTCTACCTTGCCTGTGCACTTCTCGTTCGAGGAAACGTGCAGCTTTCAGACCTTCGCAGAAATATTGAAAGGTTTGTAATACCACACGAAGTAGTCATGAGATTTGTTATTGAAACTGTTGTCAGTTGTCCAGAGGACTCTTAATTATCATTTGAAGAATTTCAATACCAAATCAGTTTACTCAGAAATATTTCTCTTAATTTCAGAAGAGAAGAAAATGTAATTAATTTATGTAATGAGTTAGAATAAGTCACAGCATTCTTGAATTTCCAAATAAAGGAAGCTGACTAGATGTCCCTGTGCTGCTCCTCTCTTTCTCAAAAATGCAAAAGAAAGCAAAGCCTAACCTTCCAGAGGTCTTCTGCCAGTAAAGGATGTTGGACGAATAAGTTCTGTAGTAGAAATTTGTTTTTACTGAGCAGAAGGCCTCTCTCTTTCATGGTTACTTTCATGTAGATAAGGAATCATCCTTTCTTTAACATCTCTGTATTGTTAGTACTCTGTTTCTACCTTTTACACTACTGATCTACATAGTTATAACAGGAAAGGCAGGCAAGCTTTGCATACAGGGTGCATGGGGAAAACTTCTGAGAATCTAAAGCATTTTACTTATTTCTAAACTGCAGGTAGACTGATTCTTCCCACAGAGCATTAATCTGCCCCTCTCCTAAATCTCAGAGTGCTTGCAGTCCCTTTTATAGAGATAGGTGCTCGTAACTTTACTTTTCAAACCCTGATATATTAAATTAACAAAATAAAATTGTTCTTTGCAATTTAAATTTAAAATAGACACAGTGTTTTAGTCTGAAGTCTAAAATGTCTTATTCAAAATGATAGTTATAAGTGGCTTGCTTAGTTCTGAAAGGTTAATTGTTAACATTTTCAGACTGTTAGCAATGGAAACTTAAGCTTTGTGTTCTTTACATTCCTTAGGTAACTAAATTTTTGTATCACAGGTTGAAGCCTTCCCTGCACTTTGTCTCCTGGAATCAAGAGGGCTGGAAAACTGGTTTATGTTCAGTACCTCCTGTGGGCCACTCCCATTCCCTTCTGGCTTTAGCAAACAACACCTGTGTAAAACCAACTTTCATTGAACTCAAAGACAGATTTATGAAGCTCTACAAGAAAAAGGTACAACTCTTACCTTTATATCATCTATCGCCACTAATCATTAGCATCTTGCATTATTGGGAAGCAAATATTGGTATCACAAAGGGACTGCTTAAAAGTAACAGCCCAAGATTTTTATTTGTGTTAACCTATGAAGGAATCATTCCAACAGCTACCACTTAAAAAGTGTAAATCCCATATTAATCAGTACCTACCAAGCAATATACTTCCTTTCTTCAGCAGTGAGGCAGTATCTGACAGATCTGCCTACCAGTTTGTGGTGAGTTGACCTTGGCTGGCTGGCTGCCAGGTGCCCACCAAACTGTTCTCTCATTTCCCTTCCTCAGCAGGACAAGGGGAGAAAGTACGATGGAAAGCTCATGGGTCAAGATAAGGACAGGGAGATCACTCAGCAGTTACTGCCTTGAGCAAAACAGAATTGACTTGGGGAACATTAGTTGATTGCCAATTAATAACAGAATAGGATAGCAAGAAATGAAAACAAATCTGAAAACACCTTCACCACATCCCACCTTCTTCCCAGGCTCAGTTTCACTCCTCTTTCTTCACTGATTTTGGTGTCTGCAGTGCTGTGTCTCACATTTTTCTCACTCCTGATTCTCACAGCTGTTGTGCAGCATTTTTACCCCTCCTTAAATATGTTATCATAGAGGCATCATAGAGCATCAGTGATGAGCTCAGCTTTGGCCACCAGCAGGTCTGTATTAGAGCTGGCTGGCATTGGCTCTGTCCTGCGTGGGGGCAGCTCCTGGTATCTTCTCACAAAAGCCACCCCTGCAACCCCACACTCCACCCACGCTACCAAAACCTTGCTATGTAAAGCCAATACACAGTTTGGTCAGGGGTATCCAAGACAGAATATGAAAAGGTGAATGTGTAAGAAATCAGTAGTATCAACCGTGATTCCATAGGGGATCGTTACTAAAGTTACCAAGTATTTAAACAAGAGATTTCATTATATAAGTCTTTACTATCTACAATGCTTGCACTCCCCTCTTCAGTGCAGGCTAAATGGTATTCATTGAGCCAAAGGAATTAGGTGCCAAGAAAAAGGATAATGCTGCCTTTTTTTTTTATTCTCATAGGCACACCTTCACCATTATCTGCATATAGATGGGATGGAGCAAAGCTGTTTTTCTGAAGCCATATCATCTTTGTCTGACCTAATAGAAGAGTACAATGAACTGGATGCCACAAAAGGTGGGCCTAGAACAGATCCCTCAAGACTGAAGATAGCTGTTTAAAGGAAGAACTGATGTTATTTTTTTAAAAAAATTCCCCCAAGCATCCAACCATGTCAGTTGGCCAGAATGAATTGCAGCATGCCTAGCTATTGTAATTCCACTGGGACAACGGCTTCCTCAGTTCTGAGAGGTGTCATATTAAGTGGCAAGCCCAGCCTGTAAGAAAGATTTGAAGGCACCTAATTATGGCAGATATCAGTAAGAGCAGTCTTCCAAAGTGTAGAGTAAATTGACATACCATATGCTGTAATGAGGAGAGGTTGTAGCAGCCAAAAATGTAGTTCTTTTCTCAGGCTTTCAGCTTACAGTAAACTAAAGACAGGCCTGCCTTCAAAGAAGGATCACCGTTGCTAGATTTCTTTTTTAACAAGCAACTATGAGGAGAAGAAAAGCCTGCATAGTCTTTTCAAAGATGAAAGCAGGTCTCTCATGAAACTGGTTTCTTAAACTTTGCAGGATAGTAGCCATTTCAGTATGCTCTAAGCTATGTTCATAGCTTTAACATTTTTGCTTCCATATTGTACTTAGCTGTATTAGAGCATTCTGAGTTGATATCAAAATTGGCAATATCAGAAAATTCAAGAAAATAAATTTTGTTTCAAGTATTCTACTTGGAGTATTAATTAACATATTCATGATTCAGATTCCAGAATGCTGAATTGCACTTGATAATGAGATAATACAATGTACCTCTGAGCGAAACACGCACTTATAATGAAGTTATAATGACTGTTTGGAGAACAAACTTTATATGCTTAAAAGAATGCGAGTAAAATGGATGTTTTAATATTTATAATTACCGAAGTAGATTTTTATATTACAGTAAGAACTTTTACAAAATAGAATGTACAGTAATTTCCAGTTGCTTGCCAGCCTTGTCTTAGACCAGCAAGACTAGTGAACTGTTACAAATCAGAATGGATCGATGCAATGATTTCTTAAAGCTTGAAGTCCTTCTAGCAGAGTTGGAGTGGGTGTATAAGTGAGCACAATTTTCAATGCGTAAGTCCAGAAGTATTCAATAAAGCATTGTGATAACATTTGTTGAGAGCATTTTTTAAGAAAACATTCTAAAAATAGTCATTTCCTTGAAATTTTGCATCTGTTGTCTGCAGGTGCCCCTTATTTGTTCCTTTACAAGTGCAGTGTTATATTCACAACACTAGAGAAAGACTACCTGCTGCAAAAAGCAATCTGAGCTTAAAATTGACTTCCATATGAAACAGCATTGATGTGTTTTACTATTGCAGATACATAGTAGAAAATCTTAATCTGAGAATCAAGAATGATAGATGGACTATTACAGGGTAATTTTTTTTCTAATAGGTTAGAGCATCTATGAATTTACATTTATTTGTCTTTGCGGACATCAACTTGTTAGTGAGGTATGAAGCTGTCTTGCTGTGCCTTTTTTAATTACCAAAAGTTCCTGTTTTGACAATAGTAGTGTTATGTTCTTGAGAAGGATGTATATATCTCCACATATAAAAAACAATTAGGCTTAAAAAGATGCACTCTTACTTGCATTTCCCAGGTGCTCTTTAAAAAATGAATATTCACCTACGTAGTTTCACTAGAAACATTGCTGTGGCAGGGGCTTACACTAACTCTTCAAGGACTGAATGTGCGGTTGTGCTCACAGGATGTTACAGTCAATGGTGTAACTCATCATACAACTTTGAGTTCAGAAAATATATCTCCTGGAGCACTGCAAATCCTCTGACATACGCACGATGTTATCCACATCATCTTCCATGTAAAGAAGCCTTCATTGGGACACTCAAACTGTACAGTGATCATTTTGGATTTATTAGGTATGCAGCACCTCTTGTCCAAGCACACCCCGCAGAAAGTTAGTTTGTAGCTCTGAGTAGTTGAGCACCCAGAAAAAACTAGTTTCTCTGCTGTAGGAAGCTGGAATGTCGGTTGACATGTTTTTCCTTTCGGAATCTTTAATATAAAACCAAAGAAAAGCCTGAGTTTTTACACATTAAAAACAGAACATGTAAGAAAAAATTGCAACATTTACATGGAAATATCTTGAAAATTACTCCTTCTGAAAGTTGTCTTATTTTTCTTTTATCAGTCAAGAAATAGAGAATATTTTCTGAGTGACTGAGCACCAGGACAGTACTAGCAGCACATATATTTCAGAACATTACATCGTTTTGTTGGAAATTACACATCTGTAGTTTCCTATTGAAATGCAAAGACTGAAAGTAGAAACAGAGAGGTTATTTTTTAAAACCCTTAAAAAAAGGAAGAAGTCATTCTATGTTGGTAGGTGCTAATATGTCCATTTTTCCATTACTGCCAAGATTTTAATTTTATATTAGGAAGTCATTTTATATTAGAAAATACCTTTATTGTCTTCAGTATATTGGTCAGGCAAGGCTGGATGAAGCATAATCTCTTTTCTTTTTTCATTTCACATTTTCTGTTTTCATTGGTGACTCTGCTGGATATGCCTATGCCACAGGTCCTGGAACAGTGGGTCCAGGGAGTTGCCTGTACTAGGCAATTTTTCTTCAAAACTAGCGGTAAGCTTCTGTAAGCTAAGACAGCAAAATCTTATTTATGCAGCAGAACAGCCCCAACAGGATTAATTGAAAATAAAAGGATAAGCATTTGATTTCTGTGCATCAAGGTGCTTTTGTAGGTAAATCTAAAAATGAGGCATAAACAAAGTTATACAAAAGGCTGAGCCGTTGTTAAACTTTACTGACACTGGATTCTCAGATCCTAGCAAGGACTATGGAGTTGCATGTGTTGTATGACCCTCCAGTTTGATGTGATGAAAATGTTTTGTGGAGAGAGTGATTTGTGAAATTTTTATGAAATGTCCAGAATGGAAGAGACATTGAAAATTATTTAAGGCCAAGCATAGCCTGAAAAAGAGTGCTGATAACATTAATGTTGGTTTCTTTGTAGATACTGTGAAGGCTTTAGGGTTTGTGTTGAGGAATAAAATTCTCCAGTCACTTCTAGGTATCACCAAAAAGCCTATTTCTGATGGATTAGGGCTGGATTAGGTAGAGTACGCTTTAAAAAAAAAAAAAAAAAAAGAAACAATTGCAGTGCAAAAGTTCATGGTGAAACTCTGAGGGGGAAAAAAACCTGGCTATGTGGAATCTGTGCATTCAGGTAAGAGCATGGGCAGAATTACAAGGATACCTGGAAAGTAGACAGCAATTTAAAGATCTCATTGCAGCAAGCAGATTAAAAGTCTGTCACAGATCTGCAACAAATAAAGGGAAGTTAAAAGGTCATTTATACTTTGTACATTTTTTTTAAAGTATGACCTAGGTACATCCCTATGTATTTGAATTCAGTAAATCAAATTGACAAGCCAAAAAAATAAACCAAGAGCAGTGAAGTGAAACTTAGCACTTGTTATCCCCACTAACAGAAAAAAGATTTTTCAAAATAGATATTGGCCCATTGAGCCATTCATGGAATTCATGTGCAAGTTGATGTGATGCTTCTGCTGCGCTGGGAAAGGGAAGAGGGAAAACCTCACTTTGAAACAAGAATTTCAAGGTGCATTTCTTCACAGGGTGTTTATCACCTGAAGAATAGCATCCTTCAGCATGTATGGCCACCGCAGGGACACACTGTTGGGTCCCTGAACCAGGCCAAATAGGAAGTGCACTTTGCAAGCTGGATATCTTTTCTCAAGGTTATGTTGCACAGTTGATTCAAAGTGCTGCATGAACGCTGTGCGGTGCAGTGTCACAGTCAGTTACTGAAGGCTGGATTTCAGCTTTTGGATCTGCTAAAGGGCTACAAGGTAAACGGCTTAGTGTTCTTCTCCAGGTACCTGAAGTAGAGCTTCCCTCAAACCCAATTAACGTATTTCATGGGGTGAAATGGTTTGGCTGCTGCTGTTTTCAATGTGCTATGTTCTCTCTTTGAGCAGATCAGCAATGTTCTCTAGAAATGAAGTCAGTTGCCTGTTTATACGCAGCATTAAGTATATTTCTGCAAAAAGGCTTTAATACTAGTTACAGCTATTGTGTCATAATTTTGAAGTAAAGATGAGCTTCTTGTTTTATTTTTGCTAACTTGCATAACCACCGCTGATTTGTTAGAAGTTGTCCAAACTGAACTTCAGATTTTGTAAGCAGGTCTGTTTAAATACAGATTGCCTTACATGTGTCTGCCTATTTACTCAGCAGTCTTTTATGAAGGTTTTCTGATAAGCTTTGCAATCTTTTTATTTTATTGATCCGTGATGATGACTCAGACCGTATCAGACCCCACAATTCAAGCTGCCACCAAATAAATGACCCAGCTTTCTGGTACCCCCATTAGTTGTAACAAAGATGAGTTTCACCATGGAAGCTTGCACAGGGAAGGAGACAGCACAAGTGCAGGCAGCTGTGGCCAGGGAAGGGCCAGGACAGCTGCTTCTGGCAATGGCCTTTCCTTAAAGTGAAAGAGAAACTACACTGTTAGCAGCAGAGCAAGGATGAGGTCAAAGGGAATACCAGCTGACCCTGGCAGAACTGTGTGGGTAAGCTTGTGTATGCTTTTGATCAGGCTGAATAGAGAAGAAATTGGGGGAGCATTGTCCTTGCAGTGACCTGAAATTTCAGGAATTCAAGGAAAGCCACCAAGGCAATTTGTATCACTTTGTGCTGTCTATTGAAAGAAGAGGCCTGCAAAGTGTTAATGTATGTGAAAACCAAGACTCCCTACTACCACAATGTAGGAGAAAGTGAGACAGCTCCCAGGCTGCGAAGTGGCTGTCCCCAGCAGCCCTAATTGGCCTGATCTGATGAGTAGTAACCCTCTGCAGAAAGATGGGTTGAAGGTAGCTTTGGCCAATTCCCTGGTGACAGAAGCCAAAAGGCTTTTTTTGCTTTTCATATTCATCAAGTTTAGAGAAAAGAGTCTGTGACCTAAGAGTAAGAGGGGTAATTGGGACAGACCGGTCACCCTGGCAATGGTCCTCAACAAGAACTGAGAAATTGCCAGTGTGCTGCCTGTCTGGCTGCTGGAGCCAGGGACACTAAACGCAGCAAAGCTCATGTACAGAAAAGTTTACCAGTGTAGCCAGACACACCTGACATCAGTCTGTAGCTTGTCGATTGAAGCTGCTTGTGCTGTCCTGGGCCACAGATGGATTGTCTGGGCTTCTTTCTGCCCGTGACCCTGGTGCAGGGACTCGCTGCTAATCTTGGTGCAAATACAGGTGTACATCCAATTGCACCACCGATGCACAGGCACTTATAAAGTGGGTTAGGTTGGAAGGTCTGCCCATTAAGATAATAAACTCCATTGAGCTCACATCCTACAGCTACCAGATCTGCAAATGGTAAACAACAGTTAGTAGTAGCACAGGAGGAGGAGCACGTGGTTCCTGCTTACAGAGTGCTAAAATGCAATCAGCCTTTACTGTACCCATAGCTTCGAGTTCTTCCCAGCCCAAGCACATTTTTTTATTTATGCCCGGTAATAACTACAGCCACCTAACTCTAAATCAGTCATCAACATGTCTGCAAGTAACAGGTAAAACAATGAACTGGTTTCGCTAGTGCATATACAGGTAAGTTTAAAGACAGTCCCAGACAGTCCCAGCCCTGCTCTCAGATTCTCTGACTGAGCAGTCGGAGGATTAAACTAGGATAAATTGCCTTGTGCAGAGCTGTGCAGCACCAGCAAGAAGAACTTGCCTCCAAAACCATTCACCCGCTTGGTCCCACCCTCCTGGATTTCAAGAAGGGAACATGGAAGAACAACTTACATGCACACACGCCTGTTTCATACCTAGGCTCGTCTTCCGAGTAGTCACAGTAGAGGCCTTTGTGGGGATCGCAGATGTCTGCTTCATTGCAGGCCTCTCCTGACTGCTTGGCGCAGACCTTACAGCAGCCGCAACCGTCCTTCACCAAGCTTACCCCGGGGGTGCAGGTTGGCACAGGTGGGCATCTGCATGGCCAGTGACAAACCTCCTCACGCTGGTGGACTTCACTGGTTCCTGGAGGTTTTTCTCTGGCCTTCGCTGGTGAGCTGTGGAAAAACTTACGGTGGGATATTTTGAGAGCCGAATGCATTATGCGCAGCTGGGATAGCATAAAATGAAGTTGGGATGGAAAAAACCCTGTGAAGTTGTATGAAGGCACTTAACGTTTCTCATCTCACAGGATCCAAAAAGTGAGAGACTGTGAGGTTTAAGTAGGAGACGGGACCAATTTCATCAGTCACTAATGTGCACTGAGATGTCATTCCACCAGTGAGCCTGGCCTACTGCTTGCATGAAACACAACTTATTGGTCTTTCCTTTGCCTTCAATAGAGCAAAACCTGCAGTAGAGCTAAAGTAGGAAAAAAAGTGTTTTAAAGTAGACAGTGGATTTATTTTAAATATTCCTTCCCACAAATCTCCTATCAAATGAATTAGTTTTTGATTCCTCCCACTGTTTGATGGCCAACCACTACCCTGTGTGCCACTTTGATGGCAAAAGCCTTTTACAGTAGTAAATCTCTTTTGGAGCAAAAGTAACACTCAAAATTTGAGTAGCTGTTTGGGAAGGAGCATTATAGTATTTACAAATTCTTGTGTGCGAAACTCAGAAATTGATTCCTAATAAGGGAAGCTAGTAGTTGCGCTGAACTTAATAGGTAATTTTCTAAGAGCGTATCTGTTTGCGTAAGTGTTTGTTGAATCCAGGGCTTATAGGGCAAAGATGTATCTCTGAAAGAGATTTGTGTCAGCAGTAGGAAGTCAAGATCTAGCCAGAATTTACTGTTTTCTACATTCTGCCTCAGAATTCATGTCTGTCTGTCTGTTTGGGTTTTTTTTCTTCTTTTAAGTAAAGGAAGTCCTAAGTAATACTTTGTTTTTCTGAAGCATGGAGGAAGATTGAGTCAGCACAGTGTGAAAGATCTGTTTGAGATAGCTATATTCTATCTGCTTTTTTTGAAGAACTGCATCTAAAATGTAACAGTTTAGATCTTGGCATTAAATCTTTTCATGCTGCTGATTTCAGCAGAAATGCAGATCGTGATATAGTTATTCATCGCGGATGACTGGATCCATAGTTAAGTGGGGGCACACACAGCGCTTGGCCAGTAGTATGCTGTGAGGCTTGGGAGCTGCTCTCATCGAGCAGCTCTGGCTGCCCAAAGAGCAAGAGGGAAAGACAAGACCCAGCCCCTCATCAGGTGCCGGTATCACCGTCTAGTTTGCAAAAAAAAAAAAAGAAAAAAAAAACCCAAAACACCCTAACAGTATATATAGCCTATATTTTTTCTGGGTACATGAAGCCCCACCTATCAGTTTCTCCCTCTTCCTCCAAACTGCAGGGCTCAACTGATGTGGAAACCACCTCTGGCAGAGGCGCTGAGGGAAAGCTGGGGAAGGGGTCATTCTGCTGGGTTTCCTTTCAGTTCAACTTTTAAACTGAAAGTATCTGCAGAATTCAGCATTTCATATGTCATATCCCATGAAAGCTCTCACAGCATAATTTAGCTGGCCTAATTGCATGCAGCAGTAAATGACCTTTTAAAAGGCTTTTTTCTACCACTAATTTCCATTTTTCATGGTCATTTACAACTATATTTATGATATCTTAATCTCCAGCTACTAATGAAGCTCCAAAGTAGTAGCTTTCAAGTTCCTTTGGCTGAATGCTTTTTAAGATACATATTAATTCCCAGAAGCAATTGATTTAATAAATGAATATTAAACAATGCCGTGTGGTATTCCATGTAGCACACAGAAGATAGTTTCCTAAACATGTTATTTTGTTAATCATTTGCTGATAAAGGATTTCTTCTAATCCTTTTTACCTAAATGCAGTAATAATATAGAAACAATTAACTTAAGTCTACTTAATTTTTTAGGCAGCTAAGCCTTTCCTATAAACCATACTGTTAATTTGATGAACGTGTGCATTGGACTGTAAAGCTTCTTAAAGGCTTGTTCTGGAAACAAGACACGCAGGTGATCCTATACATTCAGCAGTGTTCAAGACTGTATGGTTTCTTTAGGAACCTCACTTTCTTGCTGCTTTGTTTTTTTCTTTTTGAGCAGAGTATTATTATTAGGAATTTGGCCACGTGCCGCCTATATGAGGTTATGTGGCTTAAATTAGATATCGCATTTCAAAATGGGTATGTGTAGCAGGAAATAATCTGTGTGCTTCAACCAGTATGTTTAATTTGTATTACAAATTAAAACGTGCTTTAAAGCTACAGAATTCTACCTATGCAAGTGATTTTTCTCCCCTTTTTTGAGGGAAAGATGTCAACTGAAATGCATGAGACTACAAAATTTCCCAGTAAGAAGAACACGATCAGGCAAGTATCTGACAGTTTTAACTGTGGAATTACTAAGAAGCTTGGTCTACGTGAAAAATCTTTAAAAAATCTATTAAGTTACAGTGAAAATTTAAAGTTTGCTTGTAAAGTTTACAGGCCAAATATTTTTCTAATTCTTGCTTCCTAAAGTTTCTATACAAAAGCTATCCCCATCACACAAGCCCACTGCGTACTTTTCCTGATCCTATGGGCAGATCAGAAAATGAGACCATTGTGCAGGAACCCTTCATGTATTGTCATTTGTTTTCTTATGTTTTAAAGATCAAACCAGGCCCGTATGACATAAATAAGCAAGTAGCGATAGTAGGTAATGTATTATTGCTAATATTCGGTTATCTGAGTCTGGCTCTAAATATGCAGAAAGTTAGCAGAGGGAGACAGTCATCTGAAAATTCTCCATTCGACATTCATCTTGATCGTAAAGGAAAAATACACTGTGTACACATACAGCAGATTTTCAAAATTAAGCAAATAAAGAATGAAATTTGCCTTTGACACAAATACCTTCAGCAAAAGCTGTCACTTAAAATTTTCTCATTAGAGACAAAGCATAACACAGCCCAGGTACCTTTCTCATTTGTAAAACTAGCCTGAAGTCAGATCACTGTATATATACATATATGTGTATATATATATGGAATATGAGCATGGACAAGATGTTTACTTTCTCACTGCATCAGATAACCATTTGTGCTTTTTTTTTAAAAAAAAAAAAAAAAAAGCAAGGTCACTGACAATTTAGTCTTCCCTAACACTTTTCCACCGAATAGTATTCATGTACAGATTAGAGAGAAAAAAAATGCCAAAATCAAGACTGATGCAGTAAATAAGCTGCAAATGAAATTTACTCAGGAGTAGGGAATGGCTCCTTATTCTCTATGAGGAATTTGCTTCTCTAAAATTTATTTTGTCATAAAAAAAGCAAGGTCACTGACAATTTAGTCTTCCCTAACACTTTTCCACCGAATAGTATTCATGTACAGATTAGAGAGAAAAAAAATGCCAAAATCAAGACTGATGCAGTAAATAAGCTGCAAATGAAATTTACTCAGGAGTAGGGAATGGCTCCTTATTCTCTATGAGGAATTTGCTTCTCTAAAATTTATTTTGTCATTAAGCAAATAAAAACTTTAAACTGGGACAGGGTGAGGAAAGGAGAAATCTTTTTCTTCTTTTTTAATGAACTTACCTGTTGCGTACAAGGGATGATGAAGATGGTGGGGAAAAGGAGCCACCGCATGTTCCTGCACATTCAGAAGTGAAACTGGGAGATAGGGAACAGGCTGAGCTGTGTCAGAGGAAGCACTGAACACAAAGCTCTCCTCTGTCTCCCTTGCCAACCCTACTTTCCCCAGCACATGCACGAACACATACACGCATTCACACTTGAAATTCTCCACTTCACACAGAACCAGCTTCACACTGAAATTTCCAACTGATCTTCTTTTCTCTGCCCAGCGCTAGAATACAGATTTTCACACCCTGCTTGAGCCCATCCAGCTGCTTCAGCAGATTCTGCCTGACTTAATTGAGGTCGGGTGGGGTGACATCTGATTCTTAAAATCTTGCTGCTGGAAATGTTATTTTTAAGTTGTCTTTAAGTCCATATTACAGGAATTTCTGAAATCTGAAGAGCAGAGCCCCAAATATCTGTATTTTTTGAGACAGAGGAAGCAGAGTTTCTCAAAATTTCTAATGTATTGCGCCTAGCAGAATCGTAGAGTAAAAAGTAACACCGTCGGTATATGTTCTCTAAATAGGGAAAGAATAGTGTGTTATAACACTACTACATATTTTGCACTGCTTCTTTCCATGGAATCCTAATGGGGAAACCCAAACTATAATGTACTTTTCCCTGAAGTAGGCACTTTGTCTTACTGCTATGCCACCCTGCTTAAACAGCAGACCATTCCAATCTCCAAATTTCCTCCTCCCTAATACTATCGAGGTGACCTGCCTGGTTTTTAGGCTAATGAGAGAGGGTCTCCAGGGTAAGATAAAAGCTCCAGCCCTGCAACGGTGGTGGTGCCCTGGTGCATGCTCCTCCTTTGCGTTTGTCATCACTTGGTTGCCTCCTGTGCAGTCCAAGAGTTACTAGGGGAGGCTGCCGAAGCCCACGCTCACACAGCAGCTGTGTGTGGATGGAGGCAGTGGTGGGAGCGTGGAATCCAGTCCGAGCAATTCTGGTTTGCTCCCCAGCTCAGAGCACCACATGCCTTCTGCAGTTGCAAATGAATCCTGAGCTGCCCTTCTAAACTCTTAAGCAGTCAGCTGTACATCACTGAAAAACTTCTCTTCTTCATCCACTTTGTCACATACTTCAACATAAAGTCCAAACGATATCTAGGTACCAAGTGGATGCTGC